TGTGTGTGTGTGTGTGTGTGTGTGTGTGTGTGTGCGGGCAGGGACAATATCTGCCTAGTAACTACAGACAGGCTGTTCCAGATTCACAGAAGTAATCCTCACACCCTCTCACGCACACACTGAAAAATGACAATAAAGCATAGCTGCGGATTGTATATGCATCTGTTTGTTGTCATGGCAACATTGTCACTTTTCAGCTCATTACATTTAGGTCATGGAAAATAATTATTGTCCCACCCCCCTCAGTCAGTACAACCACCAGCACCATTACAGCTAACCACCCACACACACTCAGCAGTGGTACCAAAACCTACAAACACATACACACACGTCACACACACACACCCACCCACACACACTCAGCAGTGGTACCAAAACCTACAAACACATACACACACGTCACACACACACACACACACACACACACACACACACACACACACACACACACACACACACACACACACACACACACACACACACACACACACATACAGAAGCCTATGACAGTGAGGGGGATGGGTAATGATACTCAACACCTCCCACTCTCTCCTCAGCTGCTCCCTCCCCTCACTGAAACCATCACACACTAAACAGACACACACACGCTCCTTCTTTTCTGCTTCTCCGTACAGGACTGCATTAAGACAACACTCACACACACAAAGACCTCAGTGTAAAACACAGCGCAGGTTTCCCCTATCGCCTCCCCCATCCTTCCCTCTGTGCCTTCTTTACTCACATATGAAAAGCGTATGTCTGTATACAACAAGGGAACCATGCTACTACTGTGTACGGTACATGGTGGATGGTTTTGTATAAAAATACCACATGATGACATTTTACAAAAAATGCTGACATTTGTATAACCATCCTGTGAGAATGACTATAAATCAAAACCAATATGTAACCCCTTTGCTATCATTTCATTACAAAACATAATATTCAACTTGTATACTCAAAATGTTGACTTTATTCTTAAAATAGTCTTTTAACTTCATGCATGATTTTGAGGTCATTCTAAGGATTTCAATATTCTTGAAAAAAAATAACAAGAAATATATATAAATTCTCGAATTGCAAAAGAAATCCTTTAATTTCATCCTTGCCATTTTGACTTTCTTCTCAACATGTAAAACAAAAACAAAAAAATACTGTAAAGAATGTTTTTCCTTCCTCAAACCGTCCCATACTCCCGTGGTACCTTGATCGTAAATTGTATGATACTAAACTCCCATGTCATCAGAGTGATGTTTTTGGTAATTAATGGATATAATAAGTGTGAATGTTTTACTCAGATTACACCTGGACATCTTGTAGTTATAGTGACTCAGATAAGCACCAGATGGCCTTTTATTCATCAGAGATTAACAATCTGACTAAAGATGATCAAGGCTTATTTTCAAGTATTACTGTTGAAGAGTGATCAGTTGCCAGGCCCTCTCAGCTCCTCTACTGTTACGAAACATTTCCTAATCAGGTGATATTTACAAGTCTTTCTTCCTTTTTCTTTATTTATTGTTCCCTTAAAATAAAACACTCTAAATAAAAAACTAGATAATGAAATATGTTTTTAAAAAAAACACAGTTTAGAGTTTACCTTATCGTATAATTTAAGGAAACATATTGCATAGTATATATATTTTTCTGATGTTTTCTTTTTCTGTGAAAGAAACAATTCTCTGTTTTCAGGCTACATTTATGAAGACATCAACGTTGTGTGTGTGTGTGTGTGTGTGTGTGTGTGTGTGTGTGTGT